AGGAAGTGAGTGGCCGGATCCACAGAGCACTGTCCAGCTGAGGGACTGGATCCACAGAGCACTGTCCAGCTGAGGGACTGGATCCACAGAGCACCGTCCAGCTGAGGGACCGTGGTGACACTGCCAGGCTGCTCTCAGATGGCACAGGAGCACGTGCCATTGTCCTCCACCTGTGGTTTTGATCTCAGCATGATTATCTCTGATCAGATGAGCTGGGCTTTAGATCAGGCAGGTGTCCATGCTGTTTCCAAGTCTGGATGTACCTGCACTAAGCACAAACCACTTTGTCTGGAAGAGAAACCAAATCCAAATTCAGCTGCGTCCTGCTGTCACCTTGTGCAAGGAGCCTGGTTTGTGCAGGGAGCCTGGTTTCCAGGGTGGGAGAAAAAGACATTCTCCAGGGTGGGAGAATCAGCATTTAAATTCAGACCACGTGGACAGGAAGTAACTGCTGATAGCAGCAGATGAGTCTCTTTTTGGAGATAGCTTCACAATCAGGGTGCCTACATCTACGACAACACAGGTCCCCTGTAAATACTGTGTGGGGAAGGTATTTTTATATATAGAAATATATATATATATTTGAACTTCTGCCTTAGCTGCCCTGGTGTCCTGCCAAGCTAAGTGAGCTGCTTGGAGAAGGGAACTCTCCTCTCTGTGTACTGTGTCATATGCATGGTTCTGCTAAAAATATCCCTGATCCAGAGATTGGAATGTCTTTTCCTCTTTTGTCTGATGCCCTTTTAATTATTAAATTAATGTGGTAACTTTTCATTCCGTTCTCACCAATGCTCTGGCGTGGGGAGGAGCTGTCGAAGGGGTTTGGGGGGTGTTTTACTGAGCCCACGCCCACAGTGAACACTTCCACACCACAAAAACTCACGTGGGCTTCCCCCGGGGGGCGTACAAGGAGCGAGGGCGGGTGGATCTGCTTCCTGCTGGGGCGGAGCAGAGCAGGAGCCCATGGCTGGCACCGGGGAGCTGGAGCGGTGGCTCAGTGAGTGGGGACGGGGATGGGGTCTGGGGCTGCCTTGGCCGCTGGCACCAGTGCCACTTCCAAACTGGGTGGGCACTGGAGCAGCTTCAGCTCTGTCAGTAAGGGCCCGTCATCTTCATGGAACCCCTTTAGGGTGACGTTCATGGGTGCTGTCGCTTATCTCTCTACCCCAACTCTCCTGTCCATTCTCGGCCACCAAAGCTGGTTGAACAACAGGTTGGGGAGTGGATAAAGCAAAAAAATACTTTTTTTCCTCAATTTATTGTGTAAAAGGGAAAACAGTGTCTTGTGTTCCAGCACAACATTTGCCGTAGGGTCCTGGGAGAGCTGCCTGGAAATAGTTTTTAAGTTTCTTGTGCTAAAAGCAGCATCTACTGTGGTCAGGTTGTGCCTGACTTTAAAAGTGTGCTTGGGACTGTATTTTTAGACAGATTTTAGAAACAGCTGTCTCCTGCTCATCCCATTTCTGCTACTAAAAGCCCCAGAGCAGCAGCAGCGAGGTCTGAGCCGCTTCCTGCCCTGAGCCGCTCGCTCACGCTCAGGCTGAGCTCTGCTGCTTCCTTTCTTATTTTTCTCCCTCTGTAAGACAAGGCCACTGACCCGAGTATCCCTGAGGAAAACTGGGAATGCATCCAGCAGTTCTGTGACCAGGTGAACGCCGACACAGAGGGGTAAGGCAGAGGCACAGCTCTTTGTGTTCGCTCGGGCTGTGTCTGGCTCTGAGCTTCCCTCGTGGCTGGGGGGAAAGGGACCTGGGGTAAAGGGGCCTGGGGCTGCAGTGTGGGGAGCAGGAGAAGGAGCTGGGAATGGGCTTGGTGGGCTCTGCTGCTCCCAGGAGTGGAAATGAGTTGGAAATAGGTGTATGCCAATGTGGTTGGTGGAGGGTGATGCCTGGGAATGGGCTCAGACATCCATTGCTGGAACAACACCAGGCATCAGGTCCTGCTGGCTGTGCCCTCAGTAGCCCCTCTGGAGTCTGGCCAAGGATTCCTGATGAAGAGTTCTGCATGGAAGCCCTGAGGGAGCTCAGCCTCGGCTTTTCCTTCCTGAGGGGTGGGTGTTCTCTGCTGGGACGTCCCCACCTTCCAGCTGATAGTCTGGGCTCTGTGGGAAGTAGCCAGGACTAATTGAGCAAATGACCTGTGAAAGCTCAGTGGTCATCTCTGTGCTTAGAGCAGGCAACTCAGAGCTCATAGTCTGGCACCTGTGTCGTGCCCAGGGGCTGGCACAGGCTGGCTGGGCTGTCATCGAAGTGGCTGTGGAGAGCCAGCTCTGCTTGCCTGCCCAGAGAGATCCCCAGCCTGTCCCCACTGCTCCCCCCAAGGGACAGCCCCTGGGCACGGGGGAGGACAGTGCTGGGATCGCTGGGCTCCAGCTCACCCCTCGTGTGTGCCAGCCCCCGGCCAGCACCGTGCCCGAGGAAGGGTGTCTCTCCTCTTGTGAATCCAGCAGTTGCTCTCCTCTGCAGAGCAAAACTAGCAGCATTTCTTTTTCCTGGGAACTTTGTGATCTGACTTACTTCTGCTCCTCCCCAGCCCATTGCTTGCGCTGAGGCTGCTGGCACATAAAATCCAGTCCCCTCAGGAGAGGGAAGCTCTCCATGCACTCACAGTAAGTACTTCCATCCACACTTGGGAACAGAATTTGGTGGGTAGAAAGCATAGCAGACAGTACAGCTCTCTCTTCTCTTAGATGTCTCTCCCTTTCTGTTTTTCTTGGATGCCTCTCCCTTTTAACTTTCCCTTGCACAAGGAATACAGAAAACAGGGCAGAACAGAGGGAGTAGCTGCTGTTGTTCCTCCCCATATCATTGCTGTAGTGTTTCTGTGGTCTGCAGCTCTGTCTGTGTGACTTGTGTCCCACCACAGGGCAGTGGCCTGGAAGTTGTTAGTGATAGGTAGAACAGAGCAGACAGTCTTAAACATGCTGCTGTAGAAAACTCGTGAAGGAAAAATACATGTCCTTGCTGCACAGTTTTCTCAGTGTCTTGTATTTATGAATGCAGTGCCAGAAAGTTCTTATTATAATGGCAAAGTTTTTGAAAGCTCCCCAAGCCTGGTTTGTACAGTTCCTGTTGGTAACATTTTGTTTTCTGCAGGTGCTAGAGACCTGTGTGAACAACTGTGGTGACAGATTTCACGGTGAAATAGCAAAATTCAGGTTTCTGAATGAGCTGATTAAAGTGCTTTCCCCAAAGGTAGGTGGTGGTGGTGGTTACAGGGCCTTTCAGGATGAGAAATGCAGCCCTGCTTTATCAGAGGCTGTGGGATCTTCTGGCCGTGTTCCTCTGCATCAGGGCAGGCCTGGGACCACCTGAAATACCCTCTTGGCATCGCAGACATCGATTCCCCTTTTCGGTGGGTCCTGCACACATTTACCACTGTCACATGTTTCATTTTCCATTGCATCAGCCCGAGGGCAGAGCTGCAAAAAGCTGATTTCAGAGAAATGCTCAACTGAAGAACAAAACCCCTTCTCTCAGTCCTAGGCTTGGTAATGAAATTCTAGTGAAACCAAAGAGTTTAAAGACTATGTCACTGCAAACAATTCTGTCTGCTGTTCTGACAGGACAGGTATCCTGATACGAGTTTGAAATGCCTGATCTTGGGTAGGTTTGTGTTTTTATAATACGTTAAAGTGAGGGCTCATAGATAATAAGAGAAATTGGAGAAAACATCCAGATGCTGATAAAAGACCGTAACTTTTGTTTCTGGTTTTGTTCAGTTTTCCTGTGCCTGGGGCTGGCTGGGGCCAATGGTGAGATTGCATTGCAGCAGTTAAGGGAAGCAGTTAAAGCACAGATCTGTTTTCACTAAAATAAAACAACTCCTTTGGACTTTGGATTCAATAACTAATCAGAAAAGTTTGAAGTGGTTTCATTTTGATTGTCATACAATATGTATGTAATTACCATAGCATTCCTTTTGTTTACAGCCACAGCTAGAGGCACTGTTCCCTAAACCCCAAAATACACCGTTGACAGCACTGTGGATAAACTCTTATGAATTCATTTTCTCCTTGGTCTCTGGACACAAACCCCTCAGGGCCAGATCCCTGTGCCAGATTTGGCATCAGTGCTTTGGGTTTGACCTTAAAATTTTGTCTTTCTTTACTGTTTTGTTTTCAGTACTATGGAACTTGGTCTTCACAAAAAGTCAAGTTGAGGGTCACAGAAGTGATATTCAGTTGGACAGTCTGGTTTCCTCAGGAAGTCAAAATCCGGGATGCTTATCAGATGCTGAAGAAACAAGGTTCAGTTCTGTTATTTCAGTTTCCTTTTTAGCCTCCCAAGCCATGTGGTTTCCCCCCACAGATATCTGTCCCTTTCAATTTGTGACTCAGCTTTTTCATAACATGCTGTGTGTAAGGAAAAGAGACAAAGGCCACACTTCCCAGGCTAGTTGGGTACTGAAGGATGCATGGAACTGTTTAAAAGGATTTACCAAGGAACAGCCTCCCTGAGTCACAGCTCAGGCTGGCCTGGAGGCCTCTGTTCACACAGTACTCACACTGTGTGCAGGAAAAAGGTACAGGACAAACTCAGAATGATCTTTGCCCTGGAATACTCTCCCAGGATTATGATAGATGAGTTCAGAGGGTTCCTGAGCTGAATTTTTTATCCATTCCATTATATTTAATAGTCCTCAGTGGTAATCCAGAAATCCCATGCAAAACCCCCCACACTGTGGAGCATCAGGGTTCCAGCAGCTCAGGCAGCACTGAACAGCTACTGTTACCTTTTCCAGGGATTGTTAAAGAAGATCCTAAACTACCAGAAGACAAAATTTTACCCCCCCCTTCTCCAAGACCTCAGAATTCTATTTTTGACACAGATGAAGAGAAATCCAAGGTAAACCTTAGAGTTTTCATGACGCACCCTCTGATTTGTACTGATGAGAAAAGAGGCTTAGTAATATTTTGGGAGCTTATACTGTTTCAAAGAAACTATCTCAGAATAATGTTGATTCTTCCTGTGGTACAACAGCTAGAGAATGCTGTGAGGCTTTGTCAGAAATGTTTGCTTAGTAAAAAGTGAAACTTCTTTATAGAAAAGCATCAGTTTCTATGAAACCTTCCCAAGGAAGGGCTTCACCAGGTCTTACAGAAGTTCTGCAAAGCCAGAGAGTTCCTAATCCCAACAGCCAAACTGTGCAGGCAGCATTATAACCTGAATTAGATCATGGGACAGGAGCCCACATATTTCCAGGATTACAGGAACTGGAGTGTCTCTGTGTGATGTGTGCTCATAGCACAGTGCCCAGAGGCTGCTGCTCACTGCTGTCCCATCTCTGCCCTGACAGCTCCTGGCCAGGCTTCTGAAGAGCAGCCACCCCGAGGACCTGCAGGCAGCCAACCACCTGATCCAGAGTGTGGTTAGAGAGGTGGGAGCTCCTGGGGGAGAAGCCTGTTTGCAGCCAGGGAGGGTGGGAGGGCATGTGGCATTCAGTTTTTGGCAGGAGACCCTCTGTACTGGATCAGAATACAGCCTCAAAGGAGGGGCCATTTTCAGTCTTCATTATTCTGAATTTACAGTGTGGGACCATTTTGTTTTGTTTGGCTAAAATATGCCACTGTGAGGAAGAGGGAAGATGTGAATGTCTATAGCCAGGAGCCTGGGTGATGGGACACTTACACATCAGTGGGATCCTGACAGTAGAACTGCAGTAATGGTAGGAAGTTTCCAAAATAAACTCAGTTCCTAGGTGGAAAACAGCCACATCTCTACAGGAGTGCTTCTTTCCTGCACACAGTGTGTGTGTGCATGTCTGGCCTGTCCATTTTCATGTTCCATCTGAAACAGCATCCCACTTCACTGCTTAGGTAGGAGATTTGGTTTAACAAATCCCTCTGGTCATTTTGAGCATGTTGTTCTGTGTGGCAGAAACCACCAACTCCCAGCTTGGATTTTGAAGTCTCACTCGTGCCTGTGGTGAGATGGATCCTGTATGGACCAGCTCAGGGTGCCCTGAGTGGGACAGGGGGATTCTCTCTCTGCCCTTGGCACGGAGGTGGGATGCAGCTGGGGGCATGTTCTCACCTGTCCTGCTTTGTGTCTCCTCTACCTGCAATAAGGTATTTATAGGAAGGAACTCCCCAAGTGTGACCCAGAGTGCCCCAGCCAAGCACATGCACTGGCTGTATCAGCCAAATCATCATCAACCTTTATTTCATTTTTCATCACAGGAACAAGAAAGGTCAGCTCAGGTGTCCCGACGAGTGAAGGCCATCAGCGAGGTTTCTGAGAATGTCAAACAAATGGATGAGTTACTGGAGAACTACAGGAGACAAGAATTATCCCCAGCTGACCAGGAGACCCTACAGGTAAATGTTCTTTTTAATGCGTAAATGCTCTTTTCCTCCCTCTTCTGGAGGGAGCATCACTTACAGGTGATCACGGAGATACAGCTGTGAGTGTGTCTGGGGTTTCCTGAGCAGTGACATGAAACATTTTGTCCCCAGACTCTGTTCCAGCGCTGCGAGAAGCTCAGGCCGCTGCTGTTCCGCCTGGCCAGCGAGGCGGTGGCTGACGATGAGGTTCTGGGTAAGAGTCAGCACTGTCCTTGCATTTCTTTGCAGCTCAGTTTGTCACCCTTGGTGTGACAGGGGTGTGCCTTTCCTCTGGGAGGGGAGTACTTGGGCACTTGGTACCCAAAGGTACAGGCAAAGCTCTCCACTTTCACCATACCCTGACACTGAGTCTCCTGCTGCCCCTCTGGGAGGAAGCTGTTCTCACTTGAAGCCCAAAGTTAAACAGTGAATCCTTTTCTTCCAGCTGAGGTGGTTTCCAGAGTTTTTAGAGTTCTGATGTTTAGAGAACTGAAGGCTTTTGAGGCCTTTTCTCTCCAGAGATTGAAGTTCTTCTTGTCTATAAACACAGAAGGGAGAATATGTTTTAAATTTTGTAAGTGTAATAGTGAGGAGAGTCATAAGAGTGGAATCTTTGAATTCCACAGGTGTGAAACTTAGCCCTTCCCAGAGGATGGTGTTACAGTCCCGTCCATATGCTTTGAAAACCTGACTGAGGTGGTGATTGCTGAACAGACACCTGAAAAAGCAACCACGAGAGCTCAGCTGTGCCTCACACCTTCCTTTCACATCCATGGATGCCAGGGCTCTTCAGCTGGGGAGTGCTGGATTATAGACTTGAGTGCACTGGGAAAAATGCAGAAGAAATGGCAGGAACTAGAAGTACTTTAGAGATGGGATCAGATTTCACAGTGATCTTGCTAAGTGACAGAGAGGTCTGAAATCAGCAGCAGTGTGTGCAAAATGGAATGAAAGGCAAGTGAGGAGCTGAGGACAGGCTGCTCCACTGGCCTTTGCTCCAGGCAGGTCCTCAGGTGCACTGTCCCTCTCTCATGGGCAGTTTGGAGAGTGCTGTGGAACTGCCCTGCCCTTCCCCTTAGCACATCAGTGTTTTGTGGAACTGCCCTTCCCTTCCCCTTAGCACATCAGTGTTTTGTTTGTCCTCTGTCCCCAGCTGAGATCCTGCAGGCCAGTGACGAGCTCACGCGGGCGCTCGGGCAGTGCAGGCAGGCTGTGTCCCTCGGGCAGTGCAGGCAGGCTGTGTCCCTCGGGCAGTGCAGGCAGGCTGT